CCCCCCCTCCCTCCTCAATGCCCGGCCGGGCGTTGTTCCTCCTCCATCCCACGCCGCCCCTCGTCTCGCTTTTCCCTTTTCCCCAATCTCTTCATCTTATTCTTCTTCTTCCTTCTTCCCTTCTCTCCTCTTCCCTCCTCGTGTTCCTTTCCCCTCTTCCATCTCGTGTTGATCTTACCTATTTGATTGTTGGTACGATCATCTTCAAAAAAATAAAATCCTACTTCACATAGACAGAGTTTAATATAGTATGTCCTTCCCCTCATATACTCTCTCCTCCTCTCCCCTCCCCTCCCTTGACTGCAACAGTCTTGATCTCTCCGTCACAAAGGTTGCTTCTTGCTTACCATTCGTTTGACTTCAGATACCGCAATCATGGGCTACAGCGACGTTGATCAATTGGCTATCAACACCATCCGTCTGTTGGCGGTAAGCATTTCCCTCACCCGGTGACAATTCTCGACGAAAGCAGCGCAATGCATTCCCTCGGATGAGATATCCTTTGTGTCGAGCAACCAGCTAATAGCCGTATAGGTTGATGCCACCTTCAAGGCCAACTCCGGTCACCCCGGTGCCCCCATGGGCATGGCCCCCGTGTCTCACGTTCTCTTCAACAAGTTCATGACCTTCAACCCCCAGAACCCCGACTTCCCCAACCGTGATCGCTTTGTTCTCTCGTAAGCTTGACCTGGCGTGCAGCACGCCGTCCAATCCCCCCCGCACTCGCTCAACTGACACCCTGCCACACAGCAACGGCCACGGCTGCATGCTCCAATATGCTCTCCTTCACTTGTTCGGCTACAAGGTCTCTATGGATGACCTGAAGAACTTCAGAGTAAGCACTCTCCTAGTCTGAAGCGTCTCGCTTTCAGATTCTAACAATGGCGCCCACCTAGCAAATCGACAGCATCACCCCTGGTCACCCCGAGGCCCACGACACCCCCGGTGTCGAGGTTACCACTGGCCCTCTGGGTCAGGGTTTCGCCAACGCTGTTGGTTTGGCCATTGCCCAGAAGCACTCCGCTGGTGTCTTCAACAAGCCCGGCTACGAGCTGTTCAACAACCACACCTTCTGCTTCTTCGGTGATGGCTGCGCTATGGAGGGTATTGCCAGCGAGGCTGCCTCCATGGCCGGTCACTTGAAGCTTGGCAACCTGATTGCCATCTACGATGACAACCACATCTCCATCGGTATGGCCTACTCTTCAGCCTGGCTATAAGGCGACCGTCTTGAATTCGACAGACCACTGACCGTGATTGTTGCAGATGGTGACACCAAGTGCGCCTTCACTGAGGACGTTACCAAGCGTTTCGAGGCCTACGGATGGCACACCGTCTGGGTCAAGGACGGTGACAACGACCTTGATGCCATTGAGGCTGCCATCCGCGAAGCCAAGAGCGTCACCGACAAGCCCTCCGTCATCCGTTTGACCACTACCATTGGTTTCGGCTCCAAGCTCCAGGGTACCGGTGGTGTCCACGGCAACCCCTTGAAGGCTGACGACATCGAGAGTGTCAAGCAGCGTTTCGGCTTCGACCCCAAGCAGAGCTTCGTCGTTCCTCAGGAAGTCTATGACCTCTACCACAAGCACGCCGCTGAGGGCGCCGCCGCGGAGCAGGAGTGGAACAAGCTTTTCGAGAAGTATGCTTCCGAGTACAAGTCCGAGCACGCTGAGCTCACCCGCCGTCTCTCCGGCAAGCTTGCCGAGGGCTGGGAGAAGAGCCTGCCCACCTACAAGCCCTCCGACCCTGCCGTGGCTACCCGTAAGCTTTCCGAGGCTGTCCTTGAGAAGATCCACGACGTTGTCCCCGAGCTCCTGTCTGGCTCTGCCGACTTGACTGGCTCCAACAACACTCGCTGGAAGAACGCTGTCGACTTCCAGCCCCCTGAGTACAACATCGGTGACTGGTCCGGTCGTTACCTCCGCTACGGTGTCCGTGAGCACGCCATGGCTGCTGTCATGAACGGTCTCGCTGCCTACGGCACTGTCATCCCCGCCGGTGGTACCTTCCTCAACTTCGTCTCCTACGCCGCCGGTGCCGTCCGCCTCTCTGCCCTCTCTCGCGTTCGCGCCATCCACGTCGCTACCCACGACTCCATCGGTCTGGGTGAGGACGGCCCCACTCACCAGCCTATCGAGACTCTTGCCCACTTCCGTGCTCTGCCCAACTGCATGGTCTGGCGCCCGGCTGATGGTAACGAGACCAGCGCTGCCTACTACTCTGCCCTGACCTCCAAGCACACCCCCAGCATTCTGGCTCTCACCCGTCAGAACCTACCCCACCTCGAGAACTCCACCATCGAGAACGCTCTCAAGGGTGCTTACGTTGCCGTTGACGCTCCCGACGCTGCCGTCACCCTTATCTCCACTGGTTCCGAGGTCAGCATCTGTATCGAGGCTGCCACCTACCTCAAGGAGAAGCACGGCATTGCTGCCCGTGTCGTCTCCGTTCCCTGCTTCGAGGTTTTCGACGCCCAGGACAAGTCCTACAGACTCCAGGTCCTTCCCGATGGTATCCCCATCCTCTCCGTCGAGGCCCTCACCACCATGGGTTGGGAGCGCTACTCTCACGAGCAGTTCGGTCTCAACCGCTTCGGTGCCTCTGGCCCTTACAAGGAGGTCTACGCCGTAAGTCTTACCCCATTTTCCTGCTCGAATGTTCCGTCACTAATCCATTTCTACAGAAATTCGAGTTCACTCCCGAGGGCATCAGCAAGCGCGCCATCGCCACCATTGACTTCTACAAGGGCCACAAGGTGCGCTCGCCCATCAACCGTGCTTTCCAGCAGATTCTGTAGACGGCTTGTTTTAGCGACGTGATGACTTGTTACCTATATTTTCATGTTTATGGTTCTCATGGACGATGTTGATCCTAGGGCCTAGATGGCCCCTCAGGAGAAGTCCTGTTTAACGAATGTCGTTTTAAGATAAAATGCACGATTTTCTGTTTTGGTTACTTGAGGGTGTTGATGTAGTGTGTTGATGTAGTAGAATTCGTTCTGTCAAGCCCATGTAGATCAAACTCGTATGGGGCAAGCCGGCCGGTTGACCCTTTCCTAATTGGGTCGTGTTCAGAGCTCCGACTCAACGGACATGAGCGGCATTACTTATGACTTATCAGTTTCTACTCGATTGCATATTGCGAAGTACCATGTCTAATAAAGATAATGAAGGGGAAAATCTTTTTGGTTGTATTCATCATCGTCAGATCATTCATCGATTATCATCCGCCCTAGGCGCCTCAAGACCGGAGGCCACAGATCCCAAAACAAGATAGAAGAATGAAACAAAAGTTTAAGTAATCTAGTTGAGAGCCTTGCGGGCGAAGTTGGGCAGGACGAAGCTGGCGCGGTGGATGTCCTGGTTGTAGTAGCGGCAGAGACGCTCCTCCTCCTCGCGGGTCCAGGAGCGGACGGGCTCCTTGACGTTGCGGGTGGCATCCTTGCAGCAGACCATGAAGCCGATCTGGCCGGAGGGGTAGGTGGGGATGGTGGTGTAGGCGTACTCGGCGACGGGGAAGACCTCCTTGCAGGCCTTCTTGAGGTCGGTGATCAGGGACAGGTGGAGCCACTGGTTCTCGGCTGTGGTCGGATAATTTGGTTAGCTTTCAAAGGGGTTTGGAATTGTGGAGTGAATCGAGAGATGGAGTATGGGAATGGAGCGGAAGGGGGGAAGAGACGAAAGGGGTACATGTAACAGGATACGGGAAAGAAAGAAATCCGACAAGAAAATGAGAGAAATAATGAGATGTAATGAGAGAGACAAGAAACAAGAGAGCGGAGACAAAAGGGGTAGGGTAAGAGAGGAGACCGGGCATGTGAAAGTGGGCAGATGAGAGCAAAGTAAAGGCGACGAACAACCTTGTGTGGTGATGACACCGCCCTCGCGCAGCGCATCGCGGAGGAGCTCGAAGTAAGGCTTCTGGAAGAGGCTCTCGGCGGGACCCTCGGGATCGGAGCTGTCGGTGATGATGACGTCGAACTCGTTCTGGCGCTGCTTGAGGAACTCGAAGCCATCGCCAACGTGGACCTTGACGTTGGGGTGCTGGAAGCCGATGCTCATGCCGGGGAGGTACTTCTTGGAGACACGGATGACGGCCTAGAACTGCATGAGCTGGAACGTCCCCTCTCATGGGAAGGTTGTATTGGTTGTCTGTACCTCATCGATGTCACACAGAATGGCCTCCTCAACGGTCTCGTGCTTGACGACCTCACGGAGGACACCACCGTCACCACCGCCAATAACGAGGACCTTCTTGGGGTTGGGGTGGGAGTTCATGGCCAGGTGGGTGATCATCTCCTGGTAGCTATCGTCGAATTAAGGTCAGTCCTGCAAGTAAAACCTGCCTTATAGAAGAGTGGGCTGCAAGGTAACACAGAGACAAAGTATGAAGGCCGGACGTACGAGAACTCATCGCGCTCGGTGCACTGGATGACGTTGTCGAGAACGAGAACAGTGCCGTAGTCGCTGCTCTCGAAGACGAGAACGTCCTGGTACTTGGACTTCTCGTGGTGGAGAATCTGGTTAACCTTCAGGTTCATGGCCTGGCCAGGCCACATGTTGGACTGCTCGGAGAACCAGCCATCTGCAGAGCGCAAGAGGTTAGCGATGATGGGGCAATTCTAGTCATTATACATTGACACGAGGATTTTGATTGAGGTAGTAGGTGCACAGTCAAGTCAGCCCGAGCCTGCCTGGTCCATTGAGAGGTATCCAAGGACTGGTTTGGGAAGAGTCCCAACATAGGCGAGGTGGGGTAACTGAGCAGTGATGGAGGGGTGTTGGTGGTGGTGCGAAAGAACTTGCCCTTGATAGTGGGGTGAGTGATGTCGCTCATGGTGACGGATTGAGAAGTACGCGAAAAATGCGAACGAGAGAAAACAAAAGGACGAAGAGGAGAAGGTGAGTGAGGGAGTGAAGAGAACCGAAAAAGAAGAGAGGAAGAGGAAGAGGAAGAAGAAGAAGAGGGACGGCAGAAAGACAAGAAGAAAGACGAGCGCATGCGGAGTGGGGGGTTTTCCAAATCCAGCGAGGGAAGAAAAAAAATAATGGAGGGGAAGTGCTGTCTGGACTGGTAAGTTAGTGGTAACTTCGAGTATGGTAAGTCAACTAACATAAAACTTGCTGTGGAAGTTTGAGTCCACTAAAACTAAATTTACTAGTACGTAAGATATTGGGCGTAATTGACTGTACCCGTTCGCCGTTTTCCTGGCCTTTGCTTCCCAAATTCTCTCTTCATTGTCCCGTTTTGGTCATTTTCTGGGATCAAGCTACAATACATTACATTGATCATCTCTTGGGGAACAGCTGAGGAGTTGTGAATGAGACCTGGATAAGAAAGCAGACATTCCACTCTGACATTGACCATTGTGTAAGAGATTCCATTCATTACCCATCACGAACAATGGCCGTCTCAGGCCTGTGCGCTGCTGCTGTTGGGAAAAAGGTAGTAGAACATGCCCTTTAGGCACTTGGGCAGCAGCATCCTCATGGCCAAAGCGACAAGATACACTCCAATCGATGCATAGCTCAAGGGGTGTGTAAGACATGAGATTATTCGAAGTGCATTATCGTAGAACAGAGAAGGTCAATCAGCGCAGGGCAATGGCCGGACACTACGATTGGTCAAGGTCACCTGGATCTGAATCCATCCGACCTATCTAAACGCATCCATTACAGATCATGGATACAACCCCCCACGCTTGAACTACTCATAGGCACTCATAGGCAAAGCGGCACACGCAACACAACCGATTGCTTCTAGTTACTGTACATCGCAATCACCAAACGAATTCCTGCATTCTTCCTGGGCTACATTTCTTCCCCGTAGTGGTCCCCTTGGTATCGCACGTTACATTTACTCCTCACCACCCTCGAGAAGGCGGCCAGGCTTGGAGTTGAGGTACTCGTTGCTAAGAAGAAGAAGTTCAGTGTCAGCTTCTAGTCATCCAGTCGCTGAAAAGGCGCGCATCAAGGAGAAGTTCCCCGTGGACGGGTAGAGGGAATGCATACCGCTCAATAGCCCAGTTCATGAGGGCGTAGGCGGCAATGAAGGGAGGAGCGACGTAGAGGACCTGGTGTCTGAATCTGCGGAAGGTGTTGAAGATAGCGGCGTGACCGGCACCGGCGAGAGGGCGCTGACGGTTGGGAGAGAGGGAGTAGGAGGTGATACGCTGGGGAGTAGGGCAGCCTGGAATGATTCACGGTCAGCCACACCATTTTGTCGGCGGGTTGAGGCGACATCAATTGTAATCGTCATCTTGAGCAGCATCCAGCATCGATTGGGGCCTGATCATCTGCGAATGAGGCATGCCATATTCCCAATCCAAGGTATAGTTGCCGCCCCAGGACGTTGTCTGCATCATCACGCTCGGAGAGAGGGTTCAAGAGACATACCGAGGTCACCCCACGTGCCGAGGAAACTAAAGCGACCACACGTTAGCGATTGTTCCTAAGTACCAATGCATCTCTATTCGCCGTCTATTCCATTGGGACAGGCTGGGCTCGAGGAGTTCCATAGACAAGGGCCGCACGATAGCCGTGCTCCGGAAAAGCTAGGGATCGCGGTGAGGGCACCAGCCCCAGAGGGAAGAACTCACATTCCGTTCTTAGGATCGAGATGACCACCCATTGTGAAAGTATGCGACGAGTTTCAGGGGATTAGGAAACGCGGAGTGGAAACGAAGATAGGACGAAGGTAAGGCAGAACAGAAGGGGAAGAAAGTCGAGGTTGGCTTTCGGACCGAAACGGGCGAAGGTCGAAGTCGAACGAGACCGCCCAGCACTAGTCCCGATCAGGACAGCCTGCGAAAAGCCTCCCGCGACATCATCTCCTCACATCCATTATTCAGTGCAAGCGGGAATTGAGTACCTCGTCGAAACTTAATAGCTTCCATCTTGCTGCACCCCTCCCGTTTCTCGCTCCCAACAACACACCACCCACCATGTCGAACCGCTTCTTGTTCACATACGGAGCTCCCTTTGTGGGATTCTGGCTCCTCGGAGAATCCCTCTACGATGTCCGTGGCGGAACCCGCGCCGTCATCTTCGACCGGTTGTCCGGTGTGCAGGAGAAGGTCGTGAACGAAGGCACACACTTCCTCATTCCCTGGTTGCAGAAGGCGATCATCTACGATGTCCGCACCAAGCCCCGCCATATCTCGACCACCACCGGAAGTAAAGACCTGCAGATGGTCAGCTTGACCCTGCGAGTCCTGCACCGTCCTGATGTCCCGAAGCTACCGGTGATCTACCAGGTTCGCAATCACCCCCCACCCCCCAGTATCTTGTTGACGCCTTTCTGACCACTGCGCTGTTTTTCTTTGGATAGTCATACGGTACCGATTACGACGAGCGTGTGCTGCCCTCTATCGGAAACGAAGTCCTCAAAGCCATCGTGGCCCAGTTCGATGCCGCCGAATTGATCACCCAGCGCGAGGCCGTCTCCAACCGCATCCGCACGGACCTGATGAAGCGGGCAGCCCAGTTCAACATCGCCCTGGAGGACGTCTCCATCACCCACATGACCTTCGGCAAGGAGTTCACGCGCGCCGTCGAGCAGAAGCAGATCGCGCAGCAGGATGCCGAACGGGCTCGCTTCATCGTCGAGCGCGCCGAGCAGGAGCGCCAGGCCAACGTTATCCGCGCGGAGGGTGAGGCCGAGAGTGCCGATATCATCAGCAAGGCCGTCGCCAAGGCTGGCAGCGGGCTGATCGAGATCCGTCGTATCGAGGCGAGCAAGGAGATCGCCAACACGCTGGCCAGCAACCCCAACGTGACATACCTGCCGGGTAACGACGGCAAGGAAGGTGGCAAGAACACAAGCCTTCTGCTGGGTCTGAGGAACTAAACACAGAAGTGGAAACCGATATGTAGTTCTGTTTGTCTGCCTAATTGTTTTATTTTTCCCTTTTGACCCGGATGGATCTCTCGGGCGTGCATGATCTCCCTGGCGAAACTGATGTTGTTTGGTGTCTTCCCCTTCCTCTTCCTGTTTGACATACACCACCTTTCTTATCTCTTGTAGCAATAAAATACACATTCTTCTCTCTCCCTCAATCCTCCAGATACGTCATCATCCAAGCATACACTCTTACAGTCCTGCGGACCAAGTCTTCACCAAAAGCACACCGTAACATTCCGCATATATTATCCAAGAAACCGTAAACACTAAAGAAAAACCAATAGCCAAAACAGCAAGATATATAACGCAAACACACACGGAGAAATCAATCCGCCAAGCGGCGATAGATATGCACCTGAAACCTCATATCCTCCAAGCCCGCCGCATCCCCCACACCATACCGCAGCCGCGCCGCATCGCGCCTCCACCAGCGCGAGTCCTGCGAGAACAGCCGATCCCACTTCCCTGCCGCGACGGAGAGCAGCGCATGATCCAGCAGGAATTTCATCGGATACTGTCGCTCCGACGTGCTGCTACTCGTCGACTCGCCCGAGCCACCGGCGCTGTTCTTCCCGAGTTTCAACGTAGAATAGCTACCGGGGCTGTCGACCACGAGCAGCACCGCACCCGGCCGCAGCATGTCCGTGAGCCGCAGCAGAAAGCCCGTGGCTTTGGCCATGGAGGTCGAAAACAGCTCGTTCAGCGTGAACATCAGCGTCACCAGGACGGGGCCGCTGGCAGTGTCCGGCTGTACCAGCCTCCGCAGCTCCTTCTCCGAGGCCGAAAGGACGTCCAGCTTCTGGAAGCCCACCTGGAAGCTGCTGCTCGATGTCCGTGCACTGTCGTTCTGCGCGTCCGGGCCAATGCTGAGCCCCGCGTCTCGATACAAAGGAGCGGGATGCGCGTCCGACCCCGCGACGGCGGGAGACCGGATGGTGGAGACCAGTCGGTCGACGATGGGCGACCAGTCCGCGATGTCGATGGCTGTGACGGAGAGCCGGTGGCGTTGTTGGTGTTGTTGTTGTTGTTGTTGTCGTCCATCGGGTGTCGACGAATCCTCGACCGTGGCAGTAGCCTGAGCCTCCGGTCCATTCGTCTCGTGCAAAGAGAGATCATCCACAGCAGCAGCGAGGGTTCGTGCTCCTTCTTGCTCTCCACTACTACCACCCCCACCACCACCACCACCACCACCAGCCAGCTGCCTCCTCTTCCTCATCCTACCATCCCCAAAAACATCACTCCAATCCCTCCAAGCAGCTGCAAGGGCAACGATCTCAGCCCCCGCGCCGCCACCAATACAAACCACATGACCGCTAACCCCCTCCTCCCCCTCCTCCGCATCATCACCATCAACCGCCGAAGTAGTAGCGCCAGCAAACCGACCCTCACGCTTCAACAGCACCCCCAACAAAGCCCTAAAGATGCCCGCATAGCCCAACGCGCGCGACGAGCTCCAGCGCAGAGCATACGCACGCAGGAGCTCCTCATCGGCGTCCGTAAACGCCGAGTCGAAGTCCCGATTGTACAGATGCGACTTGATGGTCTGGATGAGGCCTTTGATGTCCAGTTGGGGCTGCTGCTGCTGCTGTTGCTCAGCTACTACAGCCTCGGCACCTTCACCGCCCGAATTACCCTCGTCACCCTCACCCTCACCCTCGCCATCGCCATCGCGTTTCTCAGAGCGACTGCTGCTGCTGCTAATGCTGCTAGGCACTCGATGCGTGAGCAAGGCCGCCTTGAAAACGTTCAGGAGCAGTTGCTGGAGGGTCAGCGGGATGGTCGCGGAGAGATCGATCTGATTCGCGGCGGCCGATTCAGCACCATGATTGTGCGGCCGGTGCTGGTGCTTGCCCCGAATAGTAGTTGTACCCCTCGACGATTTTTTGGGTTCATTTCTGCTGCCGCCGCGACTCTGACTCTGGGAGGAGGATTTCGCGGCCTTTTTGGAGGGGCCCATGTCTCGTGATGGTCTCGATCGGTTTTTTTTTATATCTATAAATATATATGTACACTACATATAATATCGATAGCTTTCCTCCGATGCCAAGAGAGCGGCGGCTAGACTACAGAGTTGAGTTTTTTTCTGGTGTTCGGCACGGTGTGGGGCTCCCGGGTTTGCGTACATCACAACTACAAATATGTCTTCGACAAACCTCAAGCGTGAATCTTATAATCGATACCGGCGCATATCTCCTCTAGTAGCTTCACACATCGACGAATACGAGCCTGCAAGTACGAATGATGTCTTACACGGGAATGAAGGCTTAAAAGCTCCACCAAAACTGGTGCCGCAGAATGTACATTCATTGCAGCCGTAAGCGGCTGTCATATAAAGACTTCATGCTAGATTCGTCAGATAGAGCCTCCAGTCCATGAAAACCGACAGCAACCACCAGCTTCGACCAGCCAAGAAAAAATATCAAAGTATCCCCTCCCTAATGTAAGTATGCCCGATAAGAACAAAAAGAACATCAGATGTCCCATGGAGGGATATGACGGTGAACAAGCCCTGCCCTTCCGAAAATCGGGGGCCGGGATGAGATGGAGTGAGAAGGGAGGAGCTGAGAGAAGGTATGATAAAAAACAGTTGGTAGCCTGGGGAAATAGCAAGCCAAGTTGATTAAACTGGCTCACAACTTGCAACAAGCCCGGAACGAGAGACATGAAATCTCGAAAAGAGGAAAAGGATAGAGCTTCATACTCTGACGCTTGCGATCACATGCCAATGGAAAGAAATTCGTCAGTTACCCCAACAACAGTAAAGGGGAACTTGATCAAGAAAATAAATGCGAAAGAGAAGAAAAGAAATGTGAAGAGGTAAGAGATCTTGCAAAGATCCCTGAGAAGCGAATCATGATCAGGTTGAATATGTACATGTGTCAATATTTGTCTCGAAAAAAGGGTGGTTTCATAATTGTGGCTCTTGTCGAACCCCGTGTTCATGCGGCCTGTCTTTGTCTTTGCTCCTCCAGAAGTGCATCAAACGACTGATCCGGTGAGATTTCCTCTTGGACTTTTCAGGCTCATCTTCAGGTGGCTTCTCTTCATGACTGAGTTTGCTTTTCTCTCCCTGGGAGCCAACAACGAGTTTAGAAAGGCTGGCAAGACTAGACCTCTTATAGCTGTTGGCACGGCTGGTGCGGCGACGCACAGCCTCAGAGAATGATGCAGAACGATCAGAGGACAGCCGAGGACGTCCGAAGAATGTGCCAGAGAATCTGTGGGGTGTATTCGTCGTCGTGGATGCACTGCTTGTGAGAGAAGGAACATCCTCAACTGAGGTTTGTGGAAGATCCATGGACGGATTGTATGAAGGATTCGAGAAATTATGGTCACTTGTGGATGGTGTATTTATCGACCGAGGGGCATCCGATGAGCAGCCGGTGAAGTCGGGAGACGGAAAAGAGGAATTCGAGACAAGTGTGCTTCCCTGGAGAGACAGTGGAGGGATATTATATGTCAGCTCCATTGGGGAGGTGGTAGGTCGAGTATCAGCAGCCATGAATCGCGGAGAGACGTCGGGACTTGTAGGAACAGGCATGCGGTGCTGCCATGATTCTTGCTCGGCGACATCGACTGAATCGCTCAGCGAATTAGAAAAGGGGTTGCCCGCATTCTGCAATTGATGGATAGGGTTTGATGCAGTACGAGGTCTGAGGTCCTCTTGAATGGAGGAAGTAGCATCGGCAGTCGACATAATATGAGTTTCAGTTTCCTGAATCCCAAGACCAGTATGAGGTTGGTCACGGACCTCGTCAACCACAGGGTGGGCAGTAAGTGTTTCAGAGCTGCTTTTGCTTTCCTCGGACCAACTCTCAGCATCATCACGCGAAGTTGAGATGATGACCTGCGAGAGCGGGCGCTCAATATTTTCAGCTGGAGACTCGCTCGTAGCAGCCAAGAAAGCATCCTCTTCTTCTTCATAAAGCACATCTGGATTCTCCAATGTCGAAGTATTCACAAATCGGTTGTTTCCCAGAAAACTGCGGTCAAAGGGTGGCATTTCAGGTGCACTCTCCGCACGGCGATGATAACGCATCTCTGGACCAACAAATTCACCTCGCCTACCACCACTATACATGCGCTTGGTAGCTGCCGAGAAACCACTTTCTGCAACACGACCAGAGTGCATGTCAGGCGTATTGAATGGCCCCAGAGCTGCATCCAAGTCGATGACAGGACTGAGAGCATCGTTTTGGGTTGTCTGTTCATAGAAGCTCCTTGGCTTCCACGAATGCTCCAGAGATGGTACATTTGAATCATGAGACGTGGGACGACGAGCGTCTGGTGTAGCAGGATTAGTAGGCGTGCGGATAACAACAATGGTATCATCATCAAAGTCCACGTCTAGTCCCGATCCAAGGTCGGAGTTGGTTCTCGTAATCACAGGGGCGGGGACAGAAGGCTGAATGTTCTCACTCATGTCCTTCTTCGCATGGCGCTTGGCCTTGCCTCTGGTTAAGATGGCACCGGCCCATGAGCGCACCTTCTTCTGCCGCTTTTTCGCCTTCGAGATCCTCTTATGTGTATCGAAAGAATCTGAAGACTCGCGGGCATCACGATCAGAGGTATCCGAAGTGCTTCCCGTGTTGCTGGACGAGGATGAACGTCTTGACGAGCCCGCAAAATGATCTAGAATTCCCGAAGAAAAGCTTTTGCGGTTCCGAGAATGGCCCGCTGCGGATAGCGGTCGCTTCAAAGATGAGGTATCCCCAATGTCTGAATCTATGTGCTGATCGAGCATTAGAGAAGCATCGGCAGTCCTGGGCCTAGGCTTGGGCTTCTCGTTTGAGAAAAGCTTGGGCTCAACTGCTGAGCTCATCTCGACAACGCCACTGTTTCTAGTGGAGAAGTCGGGATCCGATGCGCTCGTGGGTGCAAGAAATTTAGGCGACTGTTCAGGCGAAGCATAACAAGGTGAAGGGATGGTAGTCTCATCGCTTGATTTGACGGGAGTCGGGGGTTCTGTCTCAACAACGATTCGAGGGGACGCAGGTGGCGAATTTCGATACAGTATGGCAGCCGATTGTGATGCAGGTCGCGTGGGCTCGTCTGAAGCATGATGCTCTCGCATCGGATCTGCCGGCATACAGGGAGCGCTTTCGACAGTGGGCTTCAGGTCCAGTGCATTTGAGATTGCTGTCAGGTCCACGCTAGAGATAGCAGCTGACCGTCGGTGGGCATGACGCCGCTTTCCTTGGCTGCCTGCACCGAAGCCGGGACCTGGAGCAGGAAGTTTGGCAGGTGTCGAGCCTGAACTCTCATCGTTGCCTTGGATGGCCTCTACGGGTCCAGGGATGGCTAAACGATCCCCACCCACAAATTCGCTGCATCGTCGCCGATGACCACCTGGTCTATTCATTGGAAGATTGGGCATTGACGGCTGTGCAGAGTGGTTAGACCCTGGATTGAACGAGAAAGCCGGAAGGGGCGGGGGAGTCCTGCGTCTAGTCGCTGGAGCTTCCGACGCCGTATCGCCAGGGTCTCGTGCCGGGAAGACAAAGGGTGGGTTTGGGAGCGGAGTTGACATGGTCAAGTTGCGGCGGCTGTGACCGACAGGTGACCGATCGATGGGTCGAAGATATTCGGAGAATGCTGGAGTGATTGGGTGCTGCGGGGGTAGAGATATCGAAGCCATGATGACCTGCTGATACTATGTAATAACTAAATATTGCAGATATATTCGGCCAGCCCCGTGGTTTGCAAATGAGTACAGTTGATGTAGCCCAAGCACACAGGGACCTCCAGACCGATGCGACTTCCCTAGTACGCTTTGGAAAGCCTGACTTTGGCTGGAGGTCTTTATTTGCACATCGAGACCATCGAATACCCCAGTGAGCCACAGATCCAACAAACTTGATATTAAATGAATGAGGTGGCAGTAAGAGAACCTCGTGATGATGAAACGGTCGAAGGCCGAGGGTTGAAGGTAGCGAAATGAACCGAACGGCGGCTAGACAGGAGCCTTCTCAACTAATCCGAGTTTAATCAAGATCTGGCAGACTCTCTTGAGGAGGAAAATCGGCAGCAAAAAGTCGTAATTAACTCGAGTTGAAGAAGCGTGCAGGCGACGAAGGGGATTGTTGTTATCGTAAGGAGCGGACGGCCACGGGAACGGGCCACGGACGAGGAGGATGAGCGGAAGACTCGGCGGAGGGGGGGGGGGATAAACGAAGGAAGATAGTGAATATAGATGAGGAGCGGAAACGCAACGGGGGTGAAGAAAGCGAAGGAGGGAAGAGAGGAGGAAGCCGGAAAGAGAGTGAGAGAGGGAGGGGGGGGGAGGAGGAGGAGGAAGAGGAAAAGAGGGAGGATCAACCTAGGAAGAGAGGGAAAATGAAGTCGAAGGAAGGAGAGGAAAGGCTGAAGTGCAGCCAAAGGCTTGGTGGTGGAGAGAGAGGAGGAGACGGCGACGTATGGAGGAGGGCGGCAGGGGTTGATTGGCTGCTGGTCACCCGGAGGGGCCGCACCTGTACCTAGTACCGAACTGATACATCGTATTTACCAGGGCCGTCCGATCGCCCGCCCTCCAGTCAGCAACTTAGCGCATGGAGAGGGGATGGAGTCGATGGAGGGAGGGATGGCGAACGAACCACCTGCACCTCCCGGTAAAGAACGGAGCCCGTATCAATGAATGGTATCGGTCTTTACTCCTTGTTACCTAGCCTCAACTACTAGGTAGCCTCAAAGCAAAGACTGACACCGGTCAGTGCCTGTACTGTACCTTCCTAACTTACTAGTGAGTACTGCTAAATTAAGTTGATGGCCTAGTAACACCATTGTCTTGTCGAAAATTCACCAATTCGAGCCAGCGATGATATGGGGAAATTGCACGCCTCTCCCACTGCGGAGTTGGCGGATGGATGCGTTCTCCATCTAGCTTGTAGATGAATTTACCAAGATCCACCACACCACCACCACCACTACTACGTACTAGCCTGCAGGCTCCCTTATTCTCCTCTTCTCTGCTTGGGGCATGTTCACGGTATCCCTCTCAATCGGTCCCTTCTAGATCTTACGAATACGGAGCTGACCGGAAGAACTCTTACTTCAGCACCGTTGCCAGCAAGCCTAGATCGATAAGTCGCTGGAAATCACCCGTATCGGGCCAGATGAACGACGTCACGACCATCGACGGCTATCCGAGTACGATGCGCAATCCTTGGTTGAGACAAAAGCCTGATCCCTCTATGTGTACAGTAAGCCGGCGAACACTAAGAAGGAGGCAAGACAAGTCCCCACAACATCCGACAGGTTGAGAATCAGGGTTCTGGCATGAGCATAATTAATCTAAGTACTCATATTACATAGTATGAACAGTTGGGAGCAGTGGTCAATCAGAGAAGACTATGCTAATGATTGCGAAACGGTTGATATCCGACCCTCCTGCGGAGCGAATGGGTGGTCCGGTCGGAAGTCATGTATGACTATTGTTTCAATGCAATTGATTACTTTTTTTATTGTTGATGGTGGTTGTTGATCAATCCCTAATAATAATAATGTCACTACTGTACGGGAGTACGGGAGTACCGGGCGAAAAGAAAAAACCCCCCTCCAGGCATCAACGGATTTCACTAATCCGTCCGTACCTGAGCCGGACCTCCAATCAGCAGCGGTAGACAGGGGATTGAAATCTCGCTTGTCTCGGTGGAGGAAGGCCGAATGCCACCCACTGAACGCCTGCCGCTAACTAAATCCGGTGTTAGTTTAATTAGCGCTCTGGATCTCCCCTTGATTGAATGAGAAGAGCGAGCGAGAGAGTCCTTGTCCGCAACACCGATTATTATTATTGCCAACAGGTGATCCTTGCCAAAAGGTTGACACGTCTTGACTTCTGACCAGGGGAAGAGGGAGGCGGAGGGATGAAACATCTCACCTGGAAAAGAAGAAAAAAAAAATCCCGGGACATCCCCGGAATTCGTCCAGTTCCTCAACAGACATCCAAGAATAGTTCTTCTGCGCTATCACCGTCGTTCTTCCATTCTTAGGGGCGGGGGGGAGAGATCTGCTTTGATGTTGTCTGAGGTCTCCCGAGCCAGCCCGCGGGCTTCAGGTTCTCACGGCGCCAACCTACCCTTGTCTTGTTACTGACCAAACTGGGCTTGCGCAATCGTTCCTGAGCGCCGCACGGTAGTAGTCTAGTCAGGACTAAAGAGAAACAGGAACCCCTGGTCACTGCCAATAAGCTTCCTCTATCCCTGCGGTCTTATCGTGTTTTCTTACCCAGTCATCACCTACTGCGCGCTAGGTCTCGCCAGGGATGTAAGGCACACGTCATGCTTATTATTGGCTACTGAGCTTGCTATCCCTCTTCCAGGACTGGGCACGGATTATCAAGGTTTCTGAACTGTTAATATGTGGCCCAGGAATAATAATGTCATGCTTTGGCGCCCTATATGCTAGACATATCATTCAAGATTATCACTTGTTCTTAGCCATTTCGGCCGATCATAGTTTGCGTCGAGGGGTTGCCGCCTGAGGGCTAAGAAGCAGTTATGCATACTGTGTACTGTAGTCGACAGAGACCCAGGACACCAAAACAGGATAAAAGGATTACGAGACCGTCAGCTATGCATCATGGTCTTTCAGCTCGATCAAAGTTCTGGTTAAGCGATTGCGATCCATTGCTACAGGCTGACACGATAGACTTTTGTAGGAACCTTGAAGGTTATACTACCTAGGTACCTAGTCTTTTGAGCCGGGGGGCGGTTCTCTCTTTTAAGTGGACGGGGAGATTCCCCATGGCGTGGAGAGATTACCAATGATTCTTGTGGACAACAGCAACTGAATCATGGAGAATCACTTCCGTTGTTCTACTATGGACTTTGTAATCAAGACTTCAATCTGGTCTCTTTCTGCCAGACAGTTGGCAAGGCAATTGCCTCTCTTATCGCACCTTACGACAATATGCAGGAGCCTGACCTGGCCTATTCATTGGTGCAAGAAACACCGCTGATAGTCCCGAATCGTCGTTCTGCAGGCGGCCTTATCCGTAGGAAGACAAGGGAGCGTACTCCGTACTAGTCGGAGTGTAAGAAATACAGTGGTGAATGAGCCACAACTAACACTGTACTCCGTTCTAACTCTGTAGTGGAAGATCACAGACCCTGGGCAAAGGATAAACCGCGTGTCCCATGGAATCGACATGGAATGACCCATCAGAGGAATATTCACCTTGCAAAAGCGTGACTTGACAAGCCACCAAAGGGCAAGGGACAGTTCACTCTACATTGACCATCTACGGAGTACAGCAAGTTGGATTCCATACTGCAAAATCAGAGGCCCAGACCTATTCATACCAAGTCACGAGGTCGCAATGGTAATATATAGGTATGGCCACGGCCCACGAGACAAACGATTTCGACTCAAGTCTTCTCTCGTATTCCGAATTCTGAGACATTACGATCGGGATCAAGAACTCATTTGCCAGGTTCCTCCAGGCGCCTTACCGACAGTTCCGGTTGTGTGTCTGTGTTTGTGTCTGCTAGGCACAAAGAAGGGGGGGTGGAAGACATCCATCATCATAAACACAACTTCAAAAGGCTTCTCTGCTGGAACGCAAGGCACTAAAGAGGAGAATTCATTTCCATTGTCTCGCAAAAAAGAAAAGTTTCGTCAACACTAACTTCCGTAGAATAATTATCCATCTCTCAACCTCTTGCATCCACTCCACCTGTCTCGCTACATTACGGTCCACAGCGGAATGCGGAGGGCAAAAACCTTAGAAAAAGTTTTTGTCTTTTCTCAGGTTCTTTGTGCCGAGGTCCCCGGGTTTTCTTTTTCTTTGACTTTTGACCTTGGGGAAATCGGCGCCGATCGATCCCATGGTTTTGAGGCAAAAAATCATTTTCGTGCCTTTTTAGGGGGTTGTTTCCAGAAGTTGATTTCCATTCTATGGGTTCAGCCACATTGGAAACCCGATCGGTCCACTTTTTTTTTTGTCGCATGTATCACCCGCAGCGGCGAAGAAACTATTCAAACTGTATGGAGTATACTTAGGTATTCCTGTGGGGTTGTGCTCTGGACGTAACTGGAAGACTTTAGGAATGCGAATGGGAGTAAAGCAAAACTAAATGTCATGTCATTTGCGACACAAATGGTTCTCGGAGACTTTTTTTTCCCTCCTAGGTCACGTCAGGATCATCAGAGGCGTTTTACCAAGGGTCTGGTCTTGTCAAACGAGGCTGGGCCTATAGTCAATGAGTATGGCGAGACTCACTGTGTCAGGATGCCTGGTGCCAACGTCACTCATCGACGATGCTCTGTTACAAGGACTTCTTCTGCTTTGCTTCAAAGACGCCCGGAAAGAGCCCCAGATTGCCATTTGTGTAGAATGATGAGCGTTGACGGCTTAAGATGAACCTTCCTTACGTGGCTCTGGACATAAACATGGAGATAATGGTTCATACTGTTAGAGAAGGTCTTGTCTGGAATGGTCAGGGGTAACAAACAATTCGAAAATTACTCCATTCGAGGCAGGGCCCTCCGTGGCATTTCACTTACCGGGATATACCAGTTGATAGATGGCTGCGCATGTGAAATTACCTTCTGACATTGGGTTGCTGGGCTCTTGTGGTTTCAGCCGACAGTGGTGTTACATATGATGGCTAAAGGTAGTTTCAGAAGACTCCAAACCACGCAGGGCGTATGAAAATCATTGAAGTTCAATGGAGACTTCACTGACTCGCTTCTGCTAGATCTCAGACAGGTGCCGGATTAATGTCAGATCTGAGTTGTATCATGTGCACATCATGAATTGCTTGCTCACATATGCATCATTGAAGATAGATTTCAGTGAAGGACCAGAGCTCTGAAGCAGCATTCACTAGACCAACCACTCTCCCAGTAGCCTTGGAATAAGGCATGCTATTGTCCCACAATATCTCCTATACAAAGACAACAAACTCAGCCCAGCATGCTATCCACCTGACTTGAAGTTTCGTGCTGCTAATGAGATAACAAAAAACATACGTGAAGAAACACGCTCAACGCTCAAATGCCAAAATCAAAATTCGTTCGCTTGCTACGCTTCGACAGCGCCAGGAGAGATAGCAAGAATGACTACCAGAGTAGCTACTATTAACGCTGCAGCGACGATGGCGATCAGCCCAACGCTGCCACGACTGGCCGGGAACTTGCCCCGGATGATCCAGTACTGGCTCTCAAAATAGCGGTGAAAGCCAACCAGGAGGATGAGAATGGCAACGCCGATAAATGTGGTTCCTAGCGGCTTCCCGATGCTGCGGAGCCGCTGAGCGGCGGACGATATAGCGACACTGGCGGGATCGATATTAAGGGTTTGGGACGACGGATCCACTCCAGTCACATTCCCCGTGTTATTCAAACGGAACAGCTGGGTTACAGCTATTCCAATGGATGCAAACGCCAGCGAAGTTCTCAGCCAGGCAAGGAATGTACGCTCTACAAACATGTCAGACTGCTAATGTCGCGAATTTTGGAAGCTGAAACGAGACGGGAACTAGACACAAACGCACCCAAAGCAAGATGATCTCGGGCAACACTGCCCTTATTTTCTAGCTCTAAGCTGCCGTACTTCTCGGCCACTCGCCGGTACCAGGAGGCGTGCGGCTCCTCCGCATCCGACTGGGGTGCCTGTTGATCGGTTGGTCTTGCATCTCGCCGTTCCGGTATCCCGGCATGGCTATTCACGGACCCCGTTTCGCGGTTCCTGAGCCCTTCCGTAGATTGATAATTTCGCCGGGATGAATCGCTGTTCGAAACGATGGGCGTGCATTCATTGACTGGGTAGGATTGGCCGTGACTAGGTGTCGTAGCCGGCCCTTGCTCTGCGCTCGGAGAAGACATGCGGTGTGGCTCTCCTCGAGACGAACGAGGGGATGAAGGACTGTGTGTGAGAGAAGAGTCACCAGGCTTTTGGGTGCTTTGTGTGGTCAAATCGGAGGGTTCCATGATGGCGTGCTCACGGAGGCGCAGGGTTCATATAGCCTAGGGCAAGCTGTAATTAAGCAGACGCAGAAGAGTGGATAAGTAGTAGGATCCGAAGTTCCCCAGCTTTCGGAAGTTCTCGACGGCTGTGATGGCGGTTAAAGAACCTCTATATGAGGTTGTAGACACGAGAAATTTGGTCCTTGAGGTGGATCTCTCTAGCCAAATATTCAAGCAACTCGTTCCTTCACCCCCTCACCCAGCATCGCGCGTTGTTTGGCGAAGTTACAACTTTTGTCGCTCTCTTAAGCAGCGCTACTAGTGACTACCGTACCACGCGCCCCAAGCCTGAAGTGGAATAGCTGGCTCTTTGCCTCCAAGGGACCGAATGGCCTTTGTCGATCACATGGTGATCCTCTCCGAAAGCACTAATCTTCCTTTGGGTAAAGCGTCATCGGCCCAGCCTCTGTCAAACGATCAGAAAAGGCGGTATGATTCTGCCACGTGACCAGACTCATCCACATAGCCATCGTTGGCGGGCGGTGGCAGATGACCGTCACCTTCGAAAGTGCACCATTCATTAGTAGTATCGTCGTTCTTCTTGGCCTTTCTTACCTGCCATCTCACTATGGCCTCAGAGGTCTCCGTGCCGAGTCTGGCACCCAAGTCCAAGATTGACTTGTCCAAGAAGCTTTCAGAGCTTCGAGCGAGCAAGAGCAAGTCGAGCACAGCACCCTCCAAAGAGCCCGCACCAGTCACCCCGCCTCTACCTAACCCTCCCGACCTCACCTCCCACCAATATACCCGGCCGGTCCGTCGAATCCTATCACGAAATGATCACGAACTCTTCCTCTCTTCCCCTACATACAGACTGATCCTCGGTTTCATCTTCGGACTCTCCGATTCCGTACGAGGACGGGCGACAACCGAAGCTGGCAAGCCTTCTCCCACCATCACCAAAGTACAGTCCGTGGTCGACCAAATACGCTCACTTCTTGAACGCCACCCTTCCCTCGACCAGAACGGCTCGCGCTTTGGTAACCCAGCATTCCGCGATCTGTTCGACGATGTCGCGAGACAGAGCGAGGCATGGCATCGAGACATATTCGGGTTCGAGGATCCGGCCCTTCTCGAAGAGGCATCTACATACCTTATCAACTCGTTAGGGTCGCGGGATCGACTCGATTACGGCTCTGGTCACGAGCTGAACTTCATGATGTGGCTACTATGTCTCCGCCAGGTGGACCTGTTTTCGAAACCCGACTTCCCTGCGATCGTCTTCCACGTGTACGTGAGTTACATGCGGTTGATGCGCGACATTCAGACCACATACTATCTCGAACCCGCCGGGTCCCACGGTGTCTGGGGTCTGGACGACTACCACTTCCTGCCGTTCCTGTTCGGCGCCTCGCAGCTCGTGGCCCATCCCTACATCACCCCGCTGTCGATCCACAACATGGCGGTGCTCGAGGAAGAAAGCGACAATTTCATCTACCTGGATCAGGTGCGGTGGGTCGACAGCGTGAAGACCGTGAAAGGGCTGCGCTGGCACAGCCCCATGCTGGATGACATCTCGGGGGCCAAAAATTGGAGCAAGATTGAAGGCGGCATGAAGAAGATGTTTGTCAAGGAAGTTCTGGGCAAGTTGCCCATCATGCAACACTTCCTTTTCGGTAGCCTTCTGCCCGCCGCGCCTGGGATGACGGAGGTCACCGATGACATGGAGAGCGACGAGCACGACCACGAGCACGAACACGGTCCTGGCCATGATCACACCAATCACCTGGATTGGTTCGGCGATTGCTGTGGCATCAAGGTCCCCAGCACGGTTGCTGCGGGAGCCGAGATGCGGAAACGAGGGGGAGGATCAGGGCTACGCCCGATTCCGTTCGATTGAAACCCATGTTTCATGCCACAGAGCACGAACCATGGCCCTTGAGGGACAACTAGGAGATAACATTATGATATCAATAGCATGAAACGTTAAAAAGCATAGAACATAGTCTGCCAATAATGAAAATCGCGCCACTGGTGGCATTTAACCATCTCGCTTTTCGACTCATCAGACCGTATATATCAGTAGCTCCAGGCCGCTACATCCACTGAATAGCTAGTAACATTGAACCGTTGGCCATAGTCTCAATTACCGAATTCCTGGATTACTTCTTTGCGCATGATCACCTGACCCGACTCTAAAGCGGCAAGGCAAAATCACCCCCGGCCCAGCTAATCACCTTGATTATCTACCAAGTTCAACTTCAACCATACCATCGGTTAAATTTTTCAAACAACCCACCCCGAATCATGTTTCAAAGTTAAACACACTTTTCCTGGAAAAAGACAGTCCCAATCACCCCTCTGTCTAAGACAAGCCCCCCTCCCCCATGCCGGCCGACGAGTATTCGACGCCCGGCGGAGGCGGTAAGCTCAAGCTGAAGGGCTCCAAGATCGCCGATGGCCGCGTAGAGAAGAAGAAAAAGAAGAAGAAGCAAAAGGAAAACGAGACCAAAAAAGCCTCTCCCGAAGCGGACGCAGAGCAGCAGCAGCAGCAGCAACCAGACGAAAATGAAACCACCACCACCACGCCAAGAGATACGTCTCGTGCCCCCGATGAAGCTGATCATCCCGAGGAATCATCACCGGACGTTGACTCGGCTGGCAAGACCGAGGCGGAGAGAAGGCATGAGGAGATGAGGAAGAGGAGGGTAAGTTTTCGCCGCCCTCTTATCATTATCCCATCGATCAGCCATTATCGTCTTGCACCACCTTCTTTCCTTTTTGATCTATACCCTCCCTCCCTCCCTCCATCCCCCATCCACCCAAGTGTAGCTAGCTATCACAAACCAAAAAACCCCCCTTTGCACCTTAAAGTCGCACGCCATCCCCATACACCGGGGCAACAACAACAACCACCACCAAATAAACCCCATGAACGACAGCCAATTAACTCGACCTCCCACAGCTGCAAGAACGCCTGAAACGGGAAGGGGTCAAAACGCACAAGGAGCGCGTGGAGGAGCTCAACAAGTACCTCAGTCGATTGAGTGAACACCACGATATGTACGTGATCCACGCCCTCTTCCTTCTTTGTCCCTCAAGGCTTTCCGTGTTTGCCTGCCCTCAGTGCCTTGACTTTCTTGCTACTAACCAACACATTCCTAACTTTTGCACTCTACAGGCCCAAGATTGGACCCGGTTGAATCGCTACAGTACTTCAAGGATGGGATTGGGTTGTGTTATGTATTTCGTTGTTGATGTTTTTGTTCGTGTCTGACAACAGCAACACTAGTTGTACTACCTACAAACTTTCTCGTGGGGTTTTTTTTTGGTGCCTCTCTTTTAGATGATTGTGATTTGAATTCCAAGGCACCTCCTACCTACCAAGGCAACTTTTAACCTCGCTCAAAGCATGGTTGATGAGGATGGGGTCGGAGCTTGAGCAGAGCACTACCTACCTAAGCACCAAGGTTGCTGTCATATGACAAGTGCTACGTTGTGCACGCTCACTGGCCGGAGCAGACGAGGTAGTAGGTACCTGACGGAGCTACCGTACTGAGCTGGCACAAGACCAAACTACCACGTCTATGCTCCAACGCCGATCACTTGCGTACCTCATTCAATCTTGCTTGATGGGTGATATAGAGAATGCCTACGGGGTATGTAACGATGCTGCCTTTCACAGCAATGAATAGACTCACTTTTGCTGGGAAATGTCAATTCTATCCAAGCTGATAAACAGAAAAAAATCAAGCTGTCTAGCGACGTATTCAACCACCTTCTGAAGGCCTAATGGCGGGCACAGCTGCCACAACCTGCGATGAACATTGATTCAAAAAAAGAAAGTAATCATTCACAACTCCAGAGGTAGTCTCAACGCCAGGCGTACAATATCAAAGATAAAAGACAAAAATGTGAACAAAACTCCGCCAAAAACCCTTGCTTATAAACCGCCAGGGTGCGAGACTGTCCGTGCAGTAACGGCGGAGCCCCCCCAGCCAATGTGATGATTAGAGAAAAAAACAAGAAACTCCGCCTTGCAAGAAATAGTATGAGTATGGGCTGAAGAGAGACGAAAAAACACCTGCTAATCGATATATGACGATGCAGCGGAACGAAGAGGAATGTTGATTAAATGAGGTAATTGGGGCGTGCCGGGCGAAACCTCATACGCCCTTGATGACGTGGGTGCGCTCGCTGTTCAGTTTATCGGCATTGCGGGCATGCGACTCCTTCTTGCAGTCCTCCAGGCCGGTACAGGAGTGGGCTTCCAGCATGCGGTGCTTGGAGCAGTAGTGGCCATTGCAGAAGCTGCAGTCGCCGACAATGCGTTGAGCGGCTTCCTTGCACTCCTTGAAGTTGCAGCGAGGCTTGCGGGGCGCCATGATGGAATTAAGGGTGGCAAGAACGGGGCGGAGTCAAGAGGAGTCACCGGAGTAGGGACAGCCGATAAGCGCTTGCGTATGCGGCGTGCAAATTGGCGCTGGTTGGGAGAGGTCGCTGGTTGTCAACCGTGGGTGTGATGCGGGTGGTTGGAAGGAACCTGATGCAAGCTGCTGAAGCCTCAAGATGAAGAGAAGTACTGCCTCCTTTAGAAGAAGTAAAGGGTGACGTGGAGATAGTTGGTCGGTGGAGAGAGCTGTTAGGAGAGTCCCGGGGCGTGGTAGATAAGGAGTAGTAGATAAGAAGGGCGGTCTATATATAATCACCGGAGCAGACAGATGTGGCTGGACTGAAAGCAAGACCGTTGTAGGGACGGGAACAGCAAGGGTAGGTGGAGGAATAGGGTGGAAGGAGGTGAGGCAGGTGAGGCAGAGTCAGGTTGAGTGGTGTGAGAAAGAGGAAGAGGACAAAGAGGCAGCGAAAGAGGTTTATAAATGAATTAGTAGGTGGCAGCGGCGAAACTGCAGCGCAAAGTCAATTTATAAATCGGGTAGGGGAACGGGTGTGATTGCGAAATCGGGTTGGGGAGGGAGAGAGGAGTGGTCAGAGGGGGTAAGTTAAATCGGTAGGTAGGTATGAATGACCTGCTGAGTCACTCAATAATATTAACTAGTTAGTTCACTAACTAATAACTAAGTAAGTAACTGAATTAACTCAATAATGGAGGTGCAATGCGCTGATCCAGCCTGAGGGAGAAAGAGGAGAAGGAGGAGGCAGAGATGAGGAGTAGGCGTGGTTAGTTAGGCATAGGCATAGGCGTAAAATGCACTACTTACCAACCTTACCATCTTTACCTTAAAGCATTCAATGTTATTTCCCTTTTAGTTGTTAATAGGATTTCACTAAGTATCGATCGGGACGGGGATTCGTCGTCCTTTCCTTAATTTTAGGCGCATCCGATTAGTCTAGATACTGACTACTGACTACTACTAGGTAGAAACTGACATAACTTGACTATACTGAGTTATTACTACTACTACTAATACTACTACTACTACTACTACTACTACTACTACTACTACTACTACTACTACTACTACTACTACTACTACTACTACTACTACTACTACTATTACTACTACTACTACTACTACACTACTAAATTGACCGACTTCTTGACAGACCAGACAGACTGACTGAAACTGAGATTCAAGACTCTCTCCTCTCTGTCAGGGCTGGCTCCGACTGGAAGGGACGACGAGGCCGGGTGGAGGCAAATCAAGTAAGTGGAGCCAGAAGCTTCTGGGTTTCTTTAGGATTCCGGGCCTTCTGCCCTTCTTTCTTTCTCTCCGTCTCTCCGTCTCTCCCTCTCCCGGGCCATGTCAGATTACTACTGCATCGGGGCGAGGCAAATGTTCCCAACCGTCTTGCCTCTGCCGGATGCGCACGAGGCTTTCTTCGGTACCGTTTTTCTCACTCACCTTTTTTTTCCCCTTATTTCGTTTTATTTCGTTTTATTTTAATTTTCTCTTTCTTCAGACCGACCGGCCGGGTGACAAACGAAACAGTGACGAAGAATGGGGAGAAGAAAAGTCTAACTTAAGGTCGATAGACGATAAAATCGGGTGTCATACACGACATCTGGGCTGGCATACCTTTTTACACCTCATCCGCTCATACGTGTCCACCCTACGGTGTAGACAAGGCATGATTATACCTGTACCCCAATTTCTCACAACACCACTCAAGTTAAATTACTGCCCGTCCATAGGTTCCCTAATTTGCCGACCACAATCCTGAGGACTATATGTAGTTTGCTCTCAAGCATGGCATGGCATGGCATGGCATAGCATAGCATATAGCATGTCGCCATCCATGGCGCAATCGGCTGCACATAGTCACGATAAAGTTAGTATGCCGAGTTCATGGTAAGTTAAGTCAATTGAATCGGTTAGCTCCTACTCTGTAGCTCCAGCCGTGTCCTAGGTATCTACAGTACGTACAGTACACACTCCTCCCCATTGAGAAGGGAACTGGTCTCAACGGCTGCATATAATCCTGGTCGCAACAGCCAGGTACCTTCGCTTCGTCCTCTTGTAAGTTGTCACATCCCAACCTGTTCTGAGCCCATAAGTATGACCAGGGGCCGAGGCGAGGGAGAGGGGGCCACTGTCCCCCCGGGCTTGTGGCCGAAGTCTGTGCACGCCAGAGGTGTAGCTGCTTCCGAAGTAGCACCACAGCGCCAACAACTCCTTTTCTACTCCCAACCCTTGAACATTTAGATCTTGCGCTGATCTGCACACCTCGCTTATGGTCAGTTACTTGTACCATGGCCGATCAGCCAAGCCAGTCACGTGAAAGAGACGACATGCCGTACAGACTGCCAACTTGCTCGATATTCTTGGGTTCATGACCTCAGAACCAGGCACATCCGCAGTGTGCTTATGTGTGAGGTAACCCACATCAGGATCTTTATGTTGGCTCTGATGACGAGAGAGAATGGAACAACATATTGTTGAAATTCCTGGGATTGGCGGGCAATGCGCAAGGCAAAGGCAAAGGCAAAGGCAGTGTTGCTACCATGCATGCACCCATCCTGTTGCAGCTTATCTGGTAGTGCTACCTCACTTGCTGCCTGGCACCCATGAGACACAACGTCCATGCAGCGACATCCTGGATCCATGTACCCCAAAGTTAAGGGTGCACAGCAATGATGAAGTACATGTACCAACCCTTTTCTTTATTTATCGACCCCTTCCTCTCCTCCTCTGTTGTCCCTTCTTAATAGGTGTTACGCTTCCATAGTGAGCCTGACCCGGACTAACCGATACCCTGAGAACTCTGGTGCATCGAATCATTCTCACCACCATTAATTGCTTACTGTCAGACAATCGTCTTCCTATAGGGGGCGTTTGCATGATAGCGAGTACCTAATATCTTCACCCCCCCTGCCCTGTTTCTTCTCTTCACTTTTAGTCCAGGGCGGAGAAAGGATGATTAAGCTATGTTGGGACGATCAAGACCACCACCACCTGCAGTGCACTGCACTGTTACCCCATACTTTCCCTCCCCAACCATCCAATTCTTAGCTTTCCCCTCCCACATCCACACCCACACCCACACCCGCACCTCTTGGGCAGGAATCTCCTCTTAAAGTAGACGGTAGAACACTCCGCCAGCACAACCACCAACCTACTCTCCCGCCAACAGCAAATGTGTGTGCGTTGGTGAGTCCAAGTTCAAGTTCCCTTCCCTTGGATACACATCAATGCACGGTCTATCAGAACCACCTCCATTATACTCTGCTCAACAATTGGTCTTACAATTCGCAAATCGCCCTCCTTCCTCCTCTCGGGCTAAATTGACAGTGACATGCACAAAGCTATAGGTAGAACTGAATTCCCCCCCCCCCAAATCAAGAAGCAAACATACTACCCTCGACATGAAGAAGTGGTAGTTGGGACTAGATCCTGGCCCCAGTCCCCGTCGTCTAGTTATCCGTGCTGTGAATCAGAGGCGACATTAACCTACCGTTGACCGGCAAGGCAAAACCAAAACCCTCTCACCAAAAAAGTCAGCCACCCTGCAACACCCAGGAGATTGTGTCCACAGCCTGGAGACCTGAGTACAGTACTAGAAGTAGCCTGATGGACGGGCGGGACCGCCCTCCCCCCTTCCCCCTCCCCC